GTATGTAACAACCAGATATCCCAACTTCAGAACTATTGTCTTTTCTACCATTCTTACACTGCTAGTTAAGCTATGAATTTTCCCAATGACTTACTAAAAATAACTGGAGCTAAAGTTGGAATTTTACAGCATAGGGAGAAGTGCTGAAAATGGGTTGGTGGAGAGATTTTTATAAAGGTCTATGGTCTAGTAGGTGGTTGCCAGTCTGAAAGGCTACTGGCTAGGCAGTATGTCTATTTTTGAATGGGAGGGAGGAAGAATGGCCAGTTTCTCTGTTAATACCCTCTAGCATGGATCACCCAAGAAGGCAGGGCAGAGTAAGCCACAGAGGTAGGGTTAGAATGGTGAATGCAGCTTCGTTCTGGCGTAAGGATGGAATCCAGAATCATTGTGCTAAAGGTAGTAACTCTACCTTTTTCTAGTAGTGAAGAAAATATGCTTCATAATTCTTGTTTCTACTCTCTTTATACTGCAGCTGTTTGTGGTATAATTTATACTTTTGTAACCTGTAAATAGGAAGTTCTGAATCATTTCCTATCCAATTAAAGGAATTTATTGGCTGCAGGATTATTCTGATATTGATCTCTAATGTGTTTACATAATAGTAATCATTCTTGGTATTTATAAATTGCTTTCCATTTAGCTACAAGTCATTCATTTATTTCACTCTAATGATAGAGTATCTTAATAATGCAAAATGGTGAATTGACTAAAATTTGATTATTTAGAATATCACCCAATGAAATAGTACTGTGCACAGAGCCATTGTTTGAGCTATTTTTAAACAATAAATAAAAATGTGGAAGATATGTACACATCAAATTTTAGAATAATGGACAAAGGTCTAAAGAGATTCTTTGAAAAACAGTAAGAGGAAAGGACTAATGGAGATATTTAAATATTTCAACTTTCTAATAGTGGAAAGTGAAAATTAAAGAGACTATTTTATACATACAATGAGCACAGATTAGAAAAATTGTTAATGTGAGACAGCTACTCTCAGGGACTGTTGAGTGGGATTTCAAATTTGCAAAATATTTCTAGAAAACAATTTGGTAGTATTGATCAAAACCCTTAATTTTTTTATGCCCACAGGAATATCTTTCATGGAGAAAGATAACTGAAACTTCAACCAAGATGTACATATAAAAAGATAGTCATTGTAGTCTTATTTAGAAGAGCCAGAAATTGCTAATAACTTACATATCCAATCACAGGAGAATAATTAAGCAAACTATGTTGCATTCAAATGATGGAATAATATATGTAAATATTTGGAGAAACTAAATACAATTGTTAATAGGAGTTATTCCTTAATGGCAGGATTACACACAGTTTTTATTATTTAATCTTTTCGATGTTTTCCAGTTTCCTTAGAATAGCATTAAAACTTTTATAATCTGGGGAAAAAAAAGCAGTTCAAACATCTCAGTCTAGGGAGAAAAGTTTCATTTCTCTTTACAGTTAATTCTTGATTACTCTTGATAGTGAGGGAAAATAATTACCTGATAATCCACCACAGTGACTCAAAGCCACTAACATTTTATCTTGTACTTACTTTTTTATGTGTTTATTATTCACAATCCTTCACATTACCAGATAAATTCACATTGAAGATGTTGAAACCTTGACTCCAAATGTTTTAGAGGAGAAAAATACAGCAAGTTTCATAATTTTGTGTCTAAGTCAATGTTTTCCAAAATAGTGCTACACTTTGGGAGAGATTTAAGAATATTTAGGAAGTCAAATTGGCAGGACTAAAATTACCTTTAATTCCTTCACCTAGAGAATCATTATCCATTTGGTTCATATTCTCATAAACTGTTTTCCATGTTTATGGCAAGCATGTAAAATGGTATAATGGTTTATAAACTGTTTTGTAACTCACTTTCTGTATTTATTATTATAGACTTACACTTTTGGTAATGAACTTGAGGGCAATTGAGGTATCAAAAGAATTTCTTTTGGAAATATGTAAGCTTTATATGTATATAACTTTAAATTAAGAGAAATAAGTTGCTATAATTAGGTTTGTATTTGATTTCATAAATCCAGAAAACTCAAATGACAGTGGCTTAAACAAAATGGAGGTAACCTCTAGATCTCTGCTATAGTTATTGTAATTTCATACAGCAGGAGTTTAAAATATACAGATGATCAGATTTAATACTTAAAATGAAGCCCTGGTTCAAATTACATATGAATAATTATTATCTTTCTAATTAGGAAATGGTCATATTTCCCCATATTTATGTAGGGAATAACTAAGTGCACTAAGTTCAGTATTACCTAGACTAATTCTTAATTTTAAGTTTACATTTTGAAGATATATATATATATATATCCCTTTCAACATGAGAAGTATACCATAATTAACTTCCCATACAAAAGAGAAAAACTATTTTTTAGGGTACTGTTTATGCTATCATTGTCATCTATGTTACCATTTGAGTTTTAAAAACTGAGGTAAAATGTTACTTGTTTTTGAAACAAACCTTCTACTTTCATTGAAGTCATCTGTAGCTGGTAGGAAATAATATTTTCAGTTTCAAAGAGTATCTGGCTTCACCTTTAAGGTTCCTGCATGGACTCCAGCAATTTCTTCCCAAATGTTTCTGTAAGTCCCCAGGGTGGGTCTCATGGGGCTCTGTATTTTACTAAACTATAATATGGTGTGCATCATTTCTTCTTCTCCAAGCACGTATATACAGTGAGGGTGTTATTATCATACTTATTCTTGCCTCTGATGCTAGATTAAGGCATCCCTGCTGCTGCTGCTCGTTTCTACTGCATGCCCTGAGGGCACCAGAGCCCAGCGCTCAGAGCAATAATGTCTATATTGTGTAATCTTCAGAAATTATGGACACAAATGTTGTTTAGGGTTTCTATTCTCAATGTTTCAATGGATATAAAATCCATAGGCAGGAGTTCTTAATCTAGGCTCCATGGATTGACCTCAGAAATTATAGGAACCCTTTCATTTGTATGGGAACCACATTTGAGGCATGTGGGGATGGAGTAACGGAGGAGGATTTTAAGATTTTTGAAGTTAAGTTTCACACCTCAAAAGATTAGGAATCGTTCTGTTACATGATAGGGAAAGCTGAAAGTCATTCCTTGGCCAGCACCGTGCTTTCTATAGAATCACCTTCCCTTTAATGTTTAATTGTCATCGAACCAGGTCTGTTTAAAATCTCTTAGGATGAGTTACCTTCTAGGAGGTCCCTTGGTTCTCACATAAGGAGATTCTAAGTGGACTTTGTTGTCCCCCCACTGTCCTCTAAATGTGACCTGTAGGCTTGAATCCTGCTGAACAAAGTGTAGGTTCAACCTGGTATCTCAGATACAAATGTGGATCATAAATAACAATAAAACTCTACATGTGCATCTTAATATTTTAATCTGCAAAAATATATGCATGTATAGGTACATATATGTATTTTTTTAATGAAAAAGACAATCTGATAGTTTTTGAAAATAGGAAGGGAGATTTTCCCATCTTCTTACTTTGACCTAATTAGAGAAAATATTTTAAGGAATCTGATTTTTTTACTTTATACTTTTGGTAACTTTTTTTTCTTCTGCTGCAATTATTTCCTCTCAAATGAATTCGACTTTGTTACTTTTCTTTCACCTGATCCCTTTTTGTATCTATTTTTCTATTCATTTTATTTAGAGACCATTTGTCAAATTCATTTCATGTTTTTCCTTCAGTACAGTTACATATTTTGAGCCTCTTCACTGAAGCAGTTAAATGCCTGCAATTAACTGCATGCATCTTGATTGTTAGTGCAAATGATTTGGATACCTGATGATTCTTTAGCTAAAAACATGACCAAATAAGCTTTTGAAAAAGTAATTCTTAAATGCATTTCATCCCTTTTCCCTCACTTAGCCTTCGTGATTTGTCACTACAGTGAAGAAGTGTTGGTCTTTACTTGTAAAGGGATGGGTTTGAAAAAGCCTTGGAAAGAATACGACTTCCCTCTGGAAGCTTGAAAGTAAATGGGTGCAAATGAATCAATCTTCTTTTTTCTTTATGTAAAAGTGAAAAAATGCTTCAAGCTGTGCTTATATTTGCCAATCACACTGAGTACACCGCAAAGATACCACAGAAGGAAAGAAGATTGTTGTGAAATCAGATGAAAAACAGTGGTAAACCGAGTATCACTTGAGTGTTTTTACAATTTAAATTTTGTTTCTGCATGATATTTAAATACAGTTCAGCGCTTTTCCAGAAATGTAATAAAAGACCAAAGAACACCTCAACATAGCAATGCAAACACGGAGACTTCCCTGAGGTGGGTGAGACTTCCTGGGAGCTGCAAAAATACATTTTCTACTTGGTGTTGCTATTTTACACTGGATTGGTAAATACAAAGCCTTTTTCTTTTATTTCAGCATCTTTAGGATTTGGGGTCAGTTTCTTCGGATGTCGTATAGTTTCGAATGCAAGAAAATAAAAAACAAAAAGTAATGCTCGTTTCCCGTGTAACTCAACCACGTTCACCTCCGAGTTGTGCCGCACCAGGCAGTAAGTTCTCACTTCTTCAGACTTGTTCAGATGTCTGTGCAAATACGGGCACACCCTTCTGTGAACATTATCCAGTAATCCCATTTCCCCTGCTCCTTACCTGCTATTTCTTTACAGCTCCTAAAGTGTTCACAAGCTACTCTCCGCGCAGGCCCAGCGCAGCAGTGGCCAGACGACGTCTGCGAGTCCTGGGAGCCTCCGCCTCACACACTCCCACACGTGGCTCGGCTGTAAGCCAAGCCGCGAGGAGGAGCATTGGACCTGAGCGTCGCCATGGCAACGACGCCCCACGCACGCGGCGGCCGGGAGGGGAGGGAAACGCAAGAGCGGAAGTTCCCGCCCCCAACCTGCTGGGTGGTGGCTGGTTTAGCCCGGAGCGTCGCCATGGCAACGGCGCGTCGCGCAGGCCGCGGCCGGAGGGATGGGGAGGGGGGCGGGGAATGTGAGCGCGGAAGTCCCCGCCCCCGGGCTACTGGGCGGTGGCGACCGAGGCGGCCCGCAAGGGTTTGAAACCGTTTTGCAGCGGCGGCGGCGGCTGAACGGAAAGCGTGCGTGTAGGGGCGCCAGGTTCTTGTTTTTCCGAATTTCCATCCCCTGCCCCTACACTGGGTTCTCTGGTGGAATTTTGCGCTGGGGCGGGGGCGGTCGCCCCTCCCGTGCGGGTGGTTCGGGGAGGGGCGTCGCCCTGCAGGCCCGGGGCCCGTTCTTCAGGCCTGTGGGGCTCACTCCCCGTTTGGGGGTCTCGGCGCAGACGGCTGAGGCTTTACATGCAGAGTGGAATCCAGTCCGGGTACGGACTGGGAGAGTTCTGAGTAAAGTCTGATAAGCGGATGGAGCTGGTCAGCATGGAGAGGTTCAGAAATCGGACCAAAGGGTTTCCGCTTGTGAGGAAATCTGTGTACGGGATAAGGTAGGGAAGCGGCCGCGGCGGGCCTGCAGGCCGCCCGCCCCCTGCCCGGAGCCCGCCCCGGCGGGGGACGTACCTTCTGGGCCTGCGCCGCTTGAGTTGTCACATCGCTCCCCAGACAGATTCAGTGAGGAGATTTGGCGCGGAACCGGTGTGCTGGTTCCTTTGTAGAACAGTCCTAATAACAGTCCGCTTGGGAGGCCGGGTCCCAGCATCACAGCATATCGGGAGCTACCGAGTGTTTAGGAATTTAAGTGCTCAAAAGAACAACATAAGTAAATATGAAGAGCTTTTATGCTGATCAAAGCGCGGCTTTTTTATTACTTGTCCTTAGGTATTTAAAGATGAGTAAAAGTAAGATAGAAAAAGGCAAATGAAATGACAGCCTTCCCATAGTGGTGAGGCTGCAGCAGAGTGAAGCGCATGATGATCTGCGAGTGTTCAGGCCCAGCATCCACTTTCCCTGGGACCCCGGGTCATTTTCTTAACTCCGCTGAGCCTCCACTTCCTCCGTGGAGTGGCCAGGAGCAGTGCGTGTCTCCTAGGGCGTGGATGGACGCGTTTGTAAAGCACGCAGCGCGCTCCGGGACGGTGCAACCAATGCTCCGGTAACTGTCCAAACATCCGAATGTGTAAACCAGATAAAACATGCACCGCTAAACTTTTTGGATTTACTGAAGAACGTATTTCAAGTTTTCTTTAATGACCTACCATATATTTAAAATGTGGTTTGAACAAAATTGATTTTATGCACATTTTAGGAATATGTTTATTGTGCTTGGCAAGGGGCAGGATATATGTGAGGTGTATTCTTTGTTTAGAAATTGTGGCTGCATTTTCCCCAAGGCCTTTTAATAATCGCGGCTGATTTACGCTTTGCTGCTACTACAGTAGGTAAGCACCTTGAGAAGGTCTTAGCCCATTTTGTAGCTGTCCACGTAGAGACATTTAGTTAAAGACAATGCCGGTTAGTTAAATAAAATACATGATCCAAATATGGATTATAGCTATAAGCAAGAGTCACCTGAATCTACTTTTTTGCTTTTGAAGCAATTTATGTGACTGGTAGGCACACTATAAATACTTTAAACCTAAGTCAAAGATAGTGCTTTATTTATTTTTAAATTCTAATAATTTAACTCTGCAGTTCTCACAAATGCTGATAAAGCTTTTTGATTATCTGGAGCTAAGTAGATATAACTTGTTTATAATTTGTGCAGTAAGAAATTCTTGGAGGTTTGAAATGGTAGCTTTAATTTTTTTTCTTTCTGCATCCCTTTGTTTTGTTGTAGAATAAATAAGGAAGAAAAAGATGCAGACTTTTTAAACTTCTACCAAATATCACATTGTTTATTGTGGGTTTTTTTTATTGCATGTCATTATACCAATTCTAATTGCCTCTTTACTTTTCAAGATACTTCTTTATTGGTGATATTGCTAACTTATTTGTAAATGGATAAGAGGTCAGATACAGTGAATCTGAGAGCTAGGGATTGCGGAATTTTAATCTGAGCTTTTTGCTTAATTTCATGACTCTGGGTGAGTCTTTTTAGCTGTCCTTTGTTTCCTTTAACATTAAACACTAATATCTCCAGCCTGTGTGAAAGGATTTATTGAGAATTAGTGATTATTGGGAGTCTTATTGCCTCAGCTATGGGTGCTTTTACATGAATGTTTGAGTTGTGGGTGGGATACACTGTTTTAAGTCTGGGAGTACACTTCTGGGCAAGAACTGTGATTAAAATTTTGGGTTTATGAGTTTCCATTTGTTTTTTCATCCATTTGAATAGTTGCTTTTCAGCTTTATGATCTAACATCCCACAGTGGAATCATGGCCTTCTGTTACCAAATACATAACTGGTGTAATTAAGTAGGAATGCAGTTTAGTTATTTTAGGAGTGCAAAACAAAACCAACCAACCAAACAGGCTCCCCTTCCCAAACCAACTAACTAATCAGAAAATGCACTTACATGCAATTTGTTTTAACTTAAGTCTTGAATTGGAAAATAAGTTTCTTCTGCTGTAATACAGATGGTAGAATGACCAGTTTTTGGTGAACAGAACTAAGGACATGTAGTATTTCTGTTCTGGAAGACCTATTTGCTATTCAAAACAAAATCTTTAAAAACAAAACAAAATCCAACTATTAGTCATGTCAAAGTGGGACATTAATCCCTTTAATTAGCATTTATTTACCCATCACTTCTTTGGCTTCTAATTCATACCATGTCATGTGCTAGGTACCTACTAAAACATGTTAAGTCATGGTCCCTCCCTTACAGGATCATCTCACAGGTGATGGAAGACCTGTAAATAGTACACGGATATATTTTTTTAAATCCACATATCGTGATAAATGCTGCTGTACTGATGTGAGCAGGTGCACACTGAGGAACGACGAGTCTAGGATAAAGTTATTAGCATTAGAGAGAAGGAGAGGGAATGTGTCAGATACAGAAGCAAGGAGGTGAGGATGTGTTCTGTTCTCTAAGGTGAGAGATGGAGGGAATAGTATTTTGGGGTTTTACCACCTGGCTATTATTTTTCCCATAAAGCAGGAAGTTAGAATTCTTAAATTGAAAGTAAGGGGCTACAAGATGGTTGGTAAAAGTTTAAAAGATGCTTTGTGGAGTAGGAAATAGTGAAAGACACCTGAGGATTCGGGTGAGGTCAGAAGCTCTGTGACTACAAGGCAGTGCCTGCCGTGTTTCTCCAGCAAACCCTCAGGGAATGAAGAAGGGTGGCTGGGGATCATAGTCTAGCTGAGTATTAAGAGAAGATTGAGTGGAATATATAATTCATAAATTGAATAAATGACAAGGACTGTGCCTAATGGAGAGCTAGTCCACATCCCAACTAAGACGTTTCATAACTTAAAGGAACATGTTAAGTGTTGGATATATTTTTAACTTAAGAAATTTTGTAAAAGCCTTTTTTTCTGATTTTTGGGATTTAGCCCTTTATAAGTCAGTATTTTTCTTACTAATTAGGAAGAAATATGAGGACCAGTGTTTTTAATTTTTTTGAGGGGAATTAAAATATATAAGTTTGCATACAGTTAAAATTAAAATTGCTTTTTTGGTATACAGTTTTATGAATTTTTACATGTGTATAGACTCGGTTCTTAAAACTTCCTACACAGATAGTATCAAACCTCCAGATAATTTCCTTGTGCTATCACTTTATATTCAGACTCCCCCCCACCCCACTGGTAACCCCTGTGAGCAACTGATCTGTTTTCTGTGCCCATATTTTGTGCTTTTACTAGAAGGTCATACAGATGGATTCAGGATGTAGCCTTTTGAGAATGACTTCTTTCACTTAGCATAACACATTTGAAGTTTATCCATGCTGTGTGTGTCAATAGTTGATTGCCCTCTGTTGCTGAGTACTGTTTTCTTGTGTGGATATATCACAGTTTGTTTATCCATTCCCCAGGTAAGGGACATTTAGGTTCTTTCCAGTGTTTGGTGACTTTTTTATAGAAGAAAAAAGCCGCTGTAGACGTTGTATTCAGGTTTTTGTGTGAATAGAGATTTTGTTTCACTTGGGTACAAACCTAGAAGTGGGATTTCTGGGCCTTATGGAAGTGTGTGTTTAACTGTGTAGGAAACTACTAACCTGTTTTTCATAGTGGTTGCACCATTTTGCATTCCTACCAGCAGTGCCTGAGAGTTCTTTTTGTTCTGCATCCTCACCAGCATTTGGTATTGTTTGCATTTTTAATTTGAGCCCTCTTCATAGGTGAGTTGCAGTATCTATTGTGGTTTTAATTTGCACTTCCTAATGACTAATGGTGTTGAGCATCTTTTCATATGCTTACTTTCGTCAGTTTATCTTCTTTGATAAAGAGACTACTTTTTTTGCTGATATTTTTTGTTGTTGTTGGGTTGTTTGTTTTCTTGTGATTGAGTTTTAAGAGTTCTTTGAGATAAATCCATTATGAGACATGATTTGCAAATGTTTGCTCCCAGTCTGTGGTTTATCTTTTCAATCCCTTAAGAGAGTTCTTTGCAGAGCAACTGTTTTTTAATTTTGGTGAAGTCCAACATACTAATTTTTTCTTTTATGGGTAGTGCTTTTAGTGTCGTAGCTAAGAAATCCTTGGCTAATTCAAGGTCATGAAGAGTTTTTTTCCTATGCTTTCTTCCAAGAGGATGATATTTTTACATTTTACACTTAGGTCTGTGATTTATTTTGAGTTAGGTTTTGTATACAGTGTAAGCAGTAGGTTGAGGTTTACTTATTTATTTTGCATGTGGATGCCCAATTGTTGCAGCATTACTTGTAAAACTATCATTTCTCCATGAATTACACCTTTGTCAAGTATCAGTTGCCCATACTTGTATCTGTGTATTTCTGGACTGTCTAGTCTATTCCCTTGGTTTGTGTCTTATTCTTTCACCAATACCACATTGTCTTGACTATATAACTTTATAGTACATCTTAAAATCAGGTAATGTGAGCCCTCCAACTTTGTTCTTTTTCAAAATTGTTTTGCTATTATAATTTTTTTACTTTTCTGTATAAATTTTAGTATCAGCTTGTGTGTATCTACAAAGAGTAGTGCTGGGATTTTGATTGAAATTGCATTAAATCTATAGATCAATCTGGGGGTACTTAATGCTAATCAGTTTTCTTTGTTCTCTCATCAGAGTTTTGTAGTTTTCAGCATACAGATCTTCATTTAATTTTAAATCTTTTACAGACAGAATTATGGATATGGAAAGTGAAGAAGAAAAATGGGAGAAGCTGGATGCAGAATTTGATCACTTTGTTGTAGATATGAAGCCTTTTGTTCTCAAATTAACCCATAGGTCAGGTAAGATTATGTTTGAAAATTAGATTCTTACTAATTTTTTTATGTTATTTTGTCAAACCAGTGAACCCTCAAAATGACAGGAAAGTTGCATTCCTCTAACAACAATTTTTGTCTTAAACTGATGTAGGATTGTTTACTTTGAGCTGTTAAAGGGTGAATAGAAATATAGTGATTACAGTCTACCAAACTGTAGAAAGATCTAATTGTGAAGCCACTTCTCCTATGTCATGAGCTTAAAGTATGTGGATCTTTAATGTCAGCTACTACTCTTATTTCTGCATCTTCTTCCTCTCTCCAAGGAAATGTTTCCTCCTTCAGTAGCTTACTTTTTCTCTGACCTGTTTGTTTATCAAAGAGAAAAAAAACCTGTTGGTTTTGTATGCTTATTGGTTGTTTCTAGTGTTTGGTGATTACTGAATCCAGTGTTTTGTGACTGACTTTCTGTTGAATGAATTTTTGTTACCATCTTGTCCCCATTTCCTGGCCTGTTTTCTCTTTTATGAAATAAGGGTCTTTGTCTCAAATCAAAGAATTTTCAGGTAACTTAAGGTATCAGAGAACAATTGGAGAGAGTTTGTGGGGGTGTGGGCAGGAAGGTTCTCAAGTCATAGTAGGTATAAGGCTGGCTGGAAGGGTTAATGTGACTTGGTAACTTTTTAGTGGAGCGTTTGGAGTAGGGCCAAGAAACTGGTTTTTACCTGAGTTTTGTCTAAGTTCCCTGTTTGCCTGAGGGGGTCTGAGTGAAATCTATATTCAAAATGAGGAACCAACTCAATATTAGATACTTATTCCAAGGATCTGCGCTGGGAGAAGGGAGTGTAATGTATGAGCTATGTATTCTCTGGGCACCCAGTGTTCAAGGCCCACAGCTTTCTAGTCCAGGGTGGCTCGGCACCACCTTCCCTTCAGGCCTCTTCCTCTGCCTTGTCGGATTGTAACTTCTCTCGTCCTCTCCTCTTGTTCAGAATGAATATTTCATGTCTTGTGGCTCATTCAAAATTACTTGAATAAGTATTTAATGAAATCTCTACCCTGTGTCCTCTTCTGATATTCACTACCTTTTTTTTTTCTCTTTATTTTAGATCTGCTGATTAGGAAAAATTTGTATTAAAATCTCACATTATAAATGTATTTCAAATCAGAGTATCCTCGTATTTTATCTTCTTTTAAAAATGGACTTTAGGTACATAGAACTGGAGTAATTGTAATCTTTGGTTCATGACTAATTGTCAGTGTGGTACATTCCTGGCTGTCTTTTATTTAATTAATTAATTCATACAACACTTGGGAACTCACATCCCAAATCAGAACCTGAACATTCATAATAACTTATATCTTATAGCTAAATTTTGCTTTTGATAATGGTTTTCCCAATATTTTAACTAAAGGAAGGGATTCTTTTCATTAGCCAAGTTGTTGTGCTAAATTCTGGCCAGTGGAATATTATATGGATTTTAGTGTGCTGTAGGGCACTTAGAAAATCCATAGTTTGAAAAACTATTTACTTAAAGTTTGTCAGTTTTACTTTTGTATTTTCTTTTTGTGCAAAGTACCACCAATATTTCATGATGTTTCCTTTGTGATTATGTAATTTCAAAAGTTCTAAGAGTACAAAAGTTCTTTAGAGGCGTAGCTCTTACACCTGTAGTAACGAATCTGGTATGAGCAAAGTGGTAAATCTGCCCTAGCTGTTTTGTAGGTAAAACAGTAAGTGAATATGACCTTTAGAAACTAAGAGATTAAAGCAGATTTATGATTTGTGTTAGATATATAATCCTCAAATTGAGTTAGAATGGTAACAGATTAATGTCAAAATAGTTTTCATGAGACTTAAAGTTCTGTCTCATGACTAGGTAAGATGGTCAATAGGTCATTGTATTTGGATTAAACTGTGCTATATTTTTAAGGTACTTTTTCAAGGGATAATTCTTTTATGAAATTATCTGTAAGTAGCCTCCAATTATTTTTAGAGAGGTTAGAAGAAAACCCTAAATATCAATTACAGATCTCTGAAAATTATCAGCTTTAATAAAAAATGTTCTCAATCAAAACATTTGAGATGTAATTTTAGATTAGGTTGCTAAAATGAATAAGATTTCATTTATCTCTTGGTGTAAGTAATTAGAATTATAGAAAAAATTTTACTTCTAAAATTATTTTAGAAATGTTCTTACAGCAAAGTTTGTATCTCAGAAATTTATTTGTAATAATCCAGGGATTTTAATTTTGAGAAAATATTTGTGGCATTTGTCTTGCCTGATCAGTAACTAACTGGTAAAGTTAAACCGTAGAGCAGGGGTTGGCCAACCAGCTAGCCCTGGGGCTGAAACCCAGCCTGCTTTCCTTTCTGTAAACTTTTATTAGAAAAGAGCCGTGCCCGCTTGATGATAGATGGTGTGTGGCTGCTCCCTACTACAGGGGCAGAGTCGAGTAGTTGTGCTGGAGATCATTTTAGGCCTGCGAAGCCTGAAATATTTACTGTCTGACACTTTACCGAAAAAGTTTGCTGACCCCTGCTCTAGACAAAAGCAGATGTTTATAGGTCTTAAACTTAATGTTTTATTTTCTGAGCAGTCAACTGTCTAGTAGCTCTTACGTATTCTTCTAGAGCGGCAGAGGTGTGCACTTTGGATTAGAAAACTGTGTGAGCCTTCAGGAACCGGTGCAGGAATAATGGGCAGGAGGAATCGGAACCTATATGCGAAGCTGTTATTGCACATGCTCAAGCAGGGAGTAATTGAAGGCCCCTTCATACACCGACCTGAGCCAGGGACACTGAAAACTTTACCTTCATACATGGTAGGTGTCATTGACCAAATGATGTGTTAATTTCACTTCTTTAAAAGTGGAAAGGAAGTATGTCATCCCATTTGGGAATGGTCATATTATTAAATTGCAAGTCCTAGATAATATATTAGTTAAAACTGCTATTTTCTCCCTGATGCAATTTCTTCCACCTTGAATAGAAATCAAATATTGTCCAATAAGGAGACTGTACTTGTCGATTTAGTCATCCCACAGTATTCTACACTATTTCTAAAAAACTGAGTGTTTTTTTTTATATTGAGCCTTAAGTTCCCATTAATTTTCGTTGGATTATATTAATAATAATTTATGTATTCAGTAAATTCTAGTTTATTAAATTCCTTCATAAACATTATTTAAAAATTCATGAGAGGTTGGATTAAGTGACTTCTAAATTTCCTTTCTACTCTAATACAATGACAACAGTAATTTGGAGTTTAGAGGTGGTTTCCATTATTTCACTTAATTTCATTATTGAAATCAGCTGTTAAAATGGCAGTTATGATTATGCTTGGTTGATGAATTGTCACTGTCTTGGTCCTTGCAACCATAAAATATGCCTTCATTTGTATGGTGTTTGAGTACTTGAAAAATCTGACTGCAGTACGAGGTATTAGTAGTTGCTATTACTACACACACACACACACACACACACATGCATACATACATACATACATACATACATACATATATTTTAAAAAATTAACTGCCAAACTTGTGTAATATTATTTAAGATTATTCTGTATTTTGTAAATTAACTTATAGCAAAATTCATTCAGGAGGCATGCTGTACACTAGACAATGATTTCTGTTATCCTTGGCAGAAATACCAAAAGTTTTAGTGCTGTTAGAATTGTGCATTAAAGTAGAGCCATATATTTTTCTTAAGATTGATAGTCTTTTGGCTGGTAGTTACTTGACTTGATAGTTGATTAAACATTGGAGTGCCTGTCTCATTTTAAAGCAATTGCTATGCGTGTCTGATTTGGGATAGAGGGTCATGTGTCACCCCTTCCTGTAGAATGGCCGCTTGAAAATTGGGAGAATTGTTGCAGAAGTATCCAGTTAATACAGAGTTTTCTTTAGAAATATGTCATGAAATCTGGCTTGCTTGAAGAGAAACAAATGGGTAATGTCATTTTTCTTAATGACTTAAACACATTCAAATGTTAAGATATGAATATATTGTGTCATGTCTTCCAATTCACACTCTTTTCATAGAATCAAAGGAGAGGACTGTGTTTTACAAATAATAACAATGAGAAGGCCTAGAGACCTGTCTTGGGTTTGTCAGCTAGTTTCTGGCATGGCCAGAACTACATTCCAGGTCTTCAGCTCTGTTGTTCCCACCTTATTAAGGGATCCTAATTTTTACCTCTGATTTTTATTGATTGTGTTTTCTCTGCCCACTGATTTTTTTTTTGTTTTGGTGCAGTGTCATAAAAAGAAATAGAGCATGTAATTTAAGAAGAATTTTCTACTTATCTTTTCATAGAGCTAATATTCCTTTTGTAATACAAACAATTGTTATTAGGTTTATCTGTTATGTAATTTATCATTTGTCAGATTTCTTATATAGAAGAACACAACTAAAATGTAAATGTTATCCATTTTATGTATTTTAATATTTCATAATTCATTGTGTATTGAATGATAAATTTATATATTGATGAATTTATATATGTCATGTCATTGAATTTAAGTTGAGTATTTGAAAGGTGGTTACCAACTTGAAAGTTGTTGGAAATCTGACCTTATTATTTCATTATAGTACATTTTGAAAGAATAATTTTTCTCATTTTAAAAATCAGTCCATCTATTTTGATGAACCAAATCCAGCACGAGCAAAAGGTTCAAGCCCAGAAGGATTACCAGACTGGGTAATGGGTGAGCTGGGGACAAGTGAACATAAATTAAATGAATCATGGAAGCTTTCTTCTGGAGAGGATTCCTCTTTAGTACAGTCGCCAACTGATGTTCACAGGTATGCTATGAAAATGAAATTTTGATTTTTTATCATCATTTAGGCTGTCTTTGACCTTTATTTTTTTGAAATTCTTTCTTTTTTTAAAATTTTAATTTTTTATGGTAAGTAGTTGGTTTACTTTCTATTTTTGTTAAATTTGAGGGCTGTGAAGGGATGTTGGATAGGTAAAATAATAGTTTTGCTTTTCCATTTATTATATATTCAAGATTCAATTATGTTTTTAGCTACTTTTTAGATATGTATTAAATACATATGTATATGTGTGTATATATATGTTATATATGTGTGTGTTTATCTGTCTACCATAACTTGGAAAGTGGTGTGTGAAATTCTTTAAATAACACAATTTCCTGTTTTCCTTTATAACAAGCATGAACTAAGAACATTATCATTGGCTGCAACAATGTATGACATCCTGCATGCTTGAATTTCTCTCCTTTCCCCTCATTGAAAAATATGTTTTGATTTAATAAAAGAATGAATGTAAACATAAACCCCATTAAACCATGCTTTCTTACTAAAGTACTAAGCTTGCATTGGATTTTTAGTGCAAATGAAAGTAAACATCCAATTTTTTGAGATACACAAAAAAATGATTTTATTGTAGTATAACTTCTGGCCTTTAGGAAGGATTGATTTAAATTAGACTTTTATCAAATTTTGAGCTTTACCTTTGGCTCATTAAAATATTAAATGTTAAAATATTGGCCACTGTCACTTAATAGGTACCACATACTTCATGCTTCACTCCTGACCATTCTCTTGGTAATTTTAATTTTTGGAATCTGATTTGGTTAACACTGTAATCTTTCTTTTCTGCTATAATTTATTTTGGTTTATTCCTTAATCAAATATAGGCATGTTATTAGTAATTTCAAATGTCTTTTTAATTGATGTAGTCTGGTTGTGTGGTTTCAGACCTCAGGTGTTATGGTGGAAAAGAACAGATGAGCACAAAGCAAGAGATCCCGTCCATATGAAATTTTTTATATTAGGGGAAACAAAACTAGAGGCAAAAAGGAAAAGTTGATATATTAACAGCATGTTCAAAAGAGTAAAAAGCGAATAGATGAGGCTATGGGACATCTCTTGGGAGACTAAAAAGCGGAAGAGGTGGAGTAGAAAAGTAGGAGGATTTGAAGAGGGACAAATAGAAACAAACCAAAAAAATAAAAGTAGACGAAGTGTAACTGTGGAATTTTTGTTAGCTTCATAACAGGTAAATGGAGGCTTACAGAGATTGTGCTTCGTTTGGCTGCATAATCCATTAAGTGTCCAACTAAATGCTGCATTCCTTTCTAGGTGTCATTAATATGGACTTTACAGTATAAAGGTGAACTGAAGTAGTTTCCCATGTGTTAGAGCTTAGTCCAGAGGTTGACAATTGGTGATCTTCCTGGACCAAGTGAATCCTGTGGGTGGATTTGTTTTGTTTGACTTATATAGTGTTTTAAAGACTTTTGAAAGAGTTGTTGAAAATGAATAATTGGGGAATTTCAGATAAAAATCCGATTTTCTATCTATTAAAAAAAACTGGAGACCCAGCTCTCTTGCTAGGAGACAGCCATAGGTTGGAGCTCAGTAATACTTGGTCACTCCCTTAATGCGGCATGCCTTCTCTATTTCTTGCTAGTTGTTGACACTGAGTTTGAGGTCAGTTGCATCTATAACGGAGCCTGAGCTTTTTTCTTTTCCTCCCTTTAAGTAGGGTTAAGAGATAAAGGAAGTATTCATTTCACATTTTTATATTCCATAAAAGTAGAAAGCAGAAAGGTAGATACATGACTCAAAAAGAGGAGACTGTAGCTATGTAGACATGAGGAATTTCTCTTTATCTGGCAGCATAATCACTCATTTGTTGTTTGTCTAAGTCCTGCAGATGATTTATAACCACTGTGTCAGATGGGAAGACTTAAGTACAGGGATAATTATGTATAGTTGTTGAGTTATTTGTGAAGATTGAGGTAACATGTAAGAGTAAGGCTCAGGATAGGAAATACACTTGAGATCTCCAGGGAGTGCAGGTGAATGGGCTCCTTCTTCCTTGAAACAGAATAAAGTTTGAGAAAATACAGTGAGAATATTTTCAGTGACTTTTCTGGAAAATGAAACATAGTAAAATCTCCACAATTTTAACACATGACTTATTTTTCTCTTTTGTTCACCTATAATAGAATGTTATTTTAATGCATATTACTTGAGTATGAGGCATTAGTTATCAGTTATAGTAAATAATTAATGGGAAAAGCAGGTAAGCCTTCCATCCTGTTCAGTCACTTAGATCTCACAAATTCAAAAAAGCCTTACCTGACATCCCAGCTCTGTTTGGGGGACCCTGTGATTTATACCAAAGGAGTCTGTGTTTCTTTGTTGCACTTATCACATGTGTCTTAATGTGCTAGATTATCAATTTCATGAGGTATAGAGTGTGTTTTTACAATTTTCCCTGTATTTCCAGCTCCTGGCATGGAGCAGGAGCCTGGTAGGAATTCCGTAAGTATTTATATTTGGTGAGTGCATGTGGGAATGAACAAATGGATTGTGGTCAGCACCACCACATATTTAACCTGTACCAAGACCCTTTGACACACAGGTATATTGTGGCAGAGGGAATGGCCCACAGGATTAAAAACCAAACTTTTAGAAAAAGTTGAGGGAAAGGTAAATTTTAGAAGGTAAGCGAAGTGTGGATATAGGCTGTAGAGATATTCTTGACATACCATGAGGAATATAAAGACAGTGAGCTGAAAAAGGCTTAAATTATCTTTCTAGTCAAGTGTCAGATATCACTAAGGCTAAAGGCCAATTAATGCTATAAAAACAAAAATCCTCACAGTATCTTTTCTTGTATATTTCTCTTAATTTAACTTAATTTGACTTATTATTCTTTATTAAAAATTTTTTGTATATACAATAAAATGCACATACCTTAGTGTATAGCTAGATGGATTTTGACATGTATGTACACTCATGTAGCCGTCAAGATATCAAATACCAAATTTTTTCCCCTTCGGCCTATTTCATCCACCACCATTTGGTTTAAAATTTTAATTTAAGATTTTAATCCATGTGTACATTGATTAACAGATACTTGTAATTTTTTATACACGAAGGCATTTAAAAAATAAAATGAACGTTTACTTTAGCTAAAGGCAATAAAATTTGACTAAGGCCCAATACGTTATGTGTGAGATGAGATCAGAGAGATCGGAAGTGGGGGTGAAGAGCCTGTCGATGGTCTGCTTCATATTTCTTTTGTACCGTTGCTCTTTCACTCTGAGAGGTCCTACTGTGCTAATGAAAAAGTTAGTGTCTGCCAGTGTTGACCTAACACATCTAATCAGTTCTGCAAGAAATTGTTTTAAAAAGTTTAGGAGACTTATAATATTTGACACATGTATGTTTTTATAGTGAATAATTTATTATTACTTAGAACTGAAGTTTAATGCTGCCTCATAAATTTTACAACCACTTCAACTTGTCCTTTGAAAAACCTCTTTAATCTTAAAAGATTTTTCCCCCTTAGTGTTTCTTTTTTGATCACTTTAAAAAATCCTGCTTTACTTAGACCTTTTTGTATGTGAAGTATTTCTAATGGCATTTTAGATTATGCTGTTTGTGTCCTAGCCTTTTTATATTATTAAAGATGCAGAGTCCTTTTGAAGCCTCTTTGTCAGGGACTCCCTATTCAGTAGAGATGGCACCTTTCCTTTACCTTTATTCTTCCTGTAGGATATAGTATGTAGCCTTGTTCCAAACACGTTAGAAGTATTATAAGGTTATATTCTAACATAGTATCATGCCTTTTCCTCCCCACCAAATATACATTATACACTAGTAATCTTAACATTTCACATCAAACAGGTTTGACACATAGTCAGTTCTATCCTGGCTTTATTCTTTGCTTTCCTTTTTCATATTTCTTGGTTTAACATTGTTACTACCCAAGTTTTCTTTTAGACAAACCACTTTCCAAATTGCATTTCTATTTTATTAGTGATCTGTTACTGTATTTTTACATAAAATATCTGCTTACCTTCTTGACAATGAAATATTTTAGTTATATTTGAGTTTGGAGCATGGTTTTACAAAATGTTAGTAATGAGACCATAGACTTAGATTTTATTCCTGTACAGTTTGGTTAATTTCATTTAGGTCTACAACCATGAGCTATATCCATATATATTATTTTCTGGTCATCCTTCAGATACTTACCATTGAGATCTGGTATAGACCTTAATTGTCTTTGTGGTAGACAAACTTTGAACTGGCTCCGTGAGCCTCCTCTGGGTATTCACAGTCTCATATAATCCTTTCCCCTTGAGAGTGGGCAGGACCTGCAACTTGCTCAGATTATTACAATGACTATGGGATGTCACTTCCATGATTACATTATGATATATAAGACCCTTCCTGCCAGCAGACTGGCTCTAGAGTCTTGCTGTCTTTTCCTTGCTGCTGTTGAAGGAGCAAGCTGCCGTAAATCATACAGCCTTAAGGGACTGAACGCTGCTTGAAAACTGCACGAGCAGTTCCCTAGCTGAGCCTTCAGATGAGAACCCAGCTTTTGGTCAAACCACGATTGCAGCTTTGTATGGCCCTAAGCAGAAGACCCAGCTCAGCCGTGCCTGAACTTCTGACTCACAGAAACTATGAGAAAATATGTGTGTGTTGTTTAAAGCTGTTAAGTTTCTGGGTATTTGTTATACAGCAATATATGACCAATACACTTTTTATCCTCATTTTAGAGAATTATGCATCCTATATATAATAGATGCTTGTTGTAACAACCTCAGTGTAGAAATATATAGAGTAAAAAGTTGGAAGTCCTTCTCTTCATGTCCTTTTTATTCTACTTTGCTTATTAGAGGTAATAGTCACCAGCAATTTGGTGTGTATCATTCTACAGTTAGCACACATCCACACATATGTAATTAAAAAATTATAAATTGGCTTATACTATGTGTACTGTTCTTTGACTTGTTCTTTTGTCAGAT